CTGCTGACTATGCTTTTTTACAGTATTAAAATTAAGTGTATAGTAACTATTTATGTTTATCTTGAATGATAAAATTCTAATAGTTGTAATATCTGTCTACCAGATAAGGTGTTTCCTGGATTTAAAATGAGGATGTAAGGAAACACCTTTTTTGTTCAAAGAAAGTTGGTTTACATGGTAATAGATTGTGAAGGATTTTGATGCGCTGATTCCAGCAATGATGGAGTAGCATGAAAAAGAATATCACAGCTGGTTTTGTGATTGCTTACAACTACCTAGGTTTTTTTTTTTCCTTTTTGATAATATATTTTATTAATTTTCTTTTAAAATATGCATTCTGTAAGTCCTGTGAAAAACAGACTTCAAAATTTTGGTTTAATAATCATCAGTATAAGCACGATAAGTAAAATAAATTAAAGTTTTCCTTGGCTACTCTCCCACCTTTAAGTCTTAATTGTTATGTGACTTTTGTGAATAGGTGAAACATTTACATGAGTAGAAAAGTAATTTGGGCCTCAGCTGTGAGGTCTGAAGCTTCAGACCACAGCTACTCTGTTCTGTAGGTCTGTCTCCAAGGCAGTGATAGTTATTCAAGATTCAGATCTGTGGTAAGAGTGGCAAAAGTGTGATAGCATAGCAACACAACAGGTTCTCTCCTTAGACTGAGAAGTTGCAGTTATCTACAGTAAAGCATACAACTTCATCCCCTACAGTCTCGCAAACCTAAAACAAAACAATTCAGTTGCAACTGAATTAAAGAGTTTTTATGGACACATAAACATACCAAGTAAGCACCCAACTACTACCTTACACTGTCCTTGATTAATCTAATAGTCCCCAAAGATAAAAATATTGCTAAAATATTTAATTGGGAGTTTAAATAGTTGTTTGGCACCACTAATGATGCTGGAGTGTAAATAGCAGCACATTAATTGTATATTCTTCTAGTGGAGATATTCTTCACACAAGAGTTCATTTGACTCTGCTTTCAAAGACAGTGCAGTGCTTAAGCAAAGAAATAGTTTCTGGCTTTAAATTTGCCTTTTGGGAAGTTCAAAGTCAATGACCTGCTCTTGAAGCTGGAGAACTTGACAGTGCTTCATATTTGCCTGTAAGTGACAGAAACAGCATCCTCTCCTAGGCTACACACCTCTTGTGGGGAAATGGTAGTTTAGGATGGGTGAGTAACTTCGTATTTGTAAATTTCTTTGTTACAAATTAGACCCCCCTGCCTTCCACTAGACCACTCAGAGCCTCCTCCAATCTGGCTTTGAACACCTCCAGGGAGGGGGCATCCACAACTTCTCTGGGCAACGTGTTCCAGTGTCTCACCACCCTCACAGGAAAGAATTTCTTGCTAATATCTCATCTAAACCTACCCTCTTCCAGTTTGAAGCCATTACCCCTCATCCTATCACTAAGTGCCCTTGAAAAAAGTCCCTCCCCAGCTTTCTTGTAGGCCCCTTCAGGTACTGGAAAGCCACTAGAAAGTCTCCCTGGAGCCTTTTCTCTTCTCCAGATTGAACAGCCCTGATTCTCTCAGCCTGTCCTCCTAGGAGAGGTGCTTCAGTCCTCTGATCATCCTTGTGGCCTTCCTCTGGACTTGCTCCAGTAGGTCCATGTCCTTCTTTTGTTGAGGGCCCCAGAACTGGACACAGTACTCCAGGTGAGGTCTCAGATAACTCCCCCCAAAACCTTTTTCCCAAATGACCCTATATATAGGTTCAAAAATGAGGCGCATCACAGCAGGAGATGAGGTGATGGACTCCATGCAGTGATGACTCTGTGGGCAGTCAGCATGGTGCCTGTCACAAAATTCATTCCTTCCATGAGTAGCCGCATCAAACAATGCTGATGTGTCACTGATGACAGAAACATGAAATCAGTGGATTCCTCTATCTAGTGTTGCAATGTGAAAACACAACTTGCTTGTCAGGAGTATGGACACCATACGGATACTAACTCCCAGCTCTTCATTCTAACAAGAGTGGTGTGACTTCTGTTTTTCTGTTTGCTTGGCAAGGCCTGCTGAGAATGGTTGGAAATATTATCAACTGTACCTAAGTGAAGTTACTTTTTTAATTGTGCAGCCTTTTCAGAAAAGATGGGGATCCCCACAAGGTTGAAGGATACTGCAAAAATGGATGGACTTGTTTTCTGTGAAAACTGTTACTGCTATGGTACCATAGAAGAATTTGTTCCTGAAGGGAAATTTTGCAGCCAGAAATGCGCCCAGCAAGTAAAAAACAAGTAGGTGCTATTATAAAGCATTTCTATTGTATAGAAATGAAGAATTTTAAATAAATTCAGTGTAAGATGGAAGTGGTGGGATAAAATGTTAATGGTGAGGAAAAGGGAGATATTAAGCAGCCATGCTTTGGTGAGTCTTCGTCAGTTTAAAATGTTCTGTCCCTGTTTTTCATGTAAATGCATTAACAACACTTGGTTTTGTCTAACACTAATGTTGAAGGCAGTCTTTTTTGCTTAGAGTGTGCTGTCAGGTGCTAACTGTAAAACACTCTATGGGGTGTATGAATCAGTGTCAGACTCCCACCCTGTTTCATAATCTTTGGAATTAAGATAATCAGTAATGAGATGGTTGGTGTGGTAAGTTAATTATAATTAAGTGCAAAAGCTCTGTTGTAGATGACATTGAGTGAAAACATGAGCATACTTTAATTTCTTAGTTCCTTTTATTTCAGCTACTGCAGTTCATCTCATCATAAAAGAAGGTTTGTGTTAGTACGTCCATTCTGTATTGCATATTACTGCATTATGGCAGTTTTTATAATCTACGATTTTGTACTTTTTACTTCGTTTTTAGCTAATTGCTTCAAAATTTTCTCTTTTGATTGCTTGTTTAGCAATTTGTACAGTCTCCAATTGGATTTGTCAGTTTTAACAATTACCTTTGCTTTCCTTTCTGTAAACTGCCCTGCAGTCTTAAACATTTCACAGTTTGCTTCTCTGTGAGACTTGATGGTACATGGGAAGACACACTGTTTAAAACATGTAGAACTTGTTCAGTGTAAGCTGACAGCTTTCCTTTTGCAGTTGCTGCTGTGTATCTTTGATTAATTCTTTTGACAGATGTGATTTTCAGTAGTATTTCTAAGAATATATTTGGGATAATACCCTGGTACCTACAAACACTTGACCTTCAGATTTACTCACTTTGTACTTTTTTTATGAATATGAGAAGTGAAATAATACTGGCTTTGCGTCATTGTGTTACTCTTGTAATAGAGAAACAAAGGAGGAAAAGCCCAGTGTGGAATGCAATGGGGAAGATGATTCCAGAGGCATTCGGAAAAGAAAAGCAAAGTTACCTCTCAAAGAAGAGTCCAGGGATAATGAGGAGAAGAAAGAGAGTCCCGATGAAACTGTTAGTATGCATCATAAACCCATTCCTGCAAGTATTTCAGTGGGAGTTTTGCCTTATATTTATTGCCCTACAAAGAGAAGTGACTGCATTACTGTATCAAAGCCACAAAAAGTGGTTGGTTCACTTATCAATTTAATTATGTCTCATCAGTAGGTTCTAATTATTGACAGTGAACTGATAGGAGCTGTTTTGTTCTGTGTTGCAGCGTAATGTGTTTTGGGGCACCTTTTGTCTTTTCCTTTTGGATTTATTCCACGTTTTAGAGTAAACCTATCACAGTACCTTCCCATCATGTTCATTTTCCTGTAATACTTGTTTTTGTCCCAATAACAGTGACACTGCTGGGAGCAGCACAGTTTTGAGGGAGAAGGGGAGAGCTCTGCAACTGCAGAGTTGTCAATATGCAGAAGACTAACAAGAGCTGTCAGAAGGGAAATTGTAGCTCTCTGTAGAGCAGTGTATTAGACAAAAGTCAGAGGACACGTTCTTTGCCTCTGTGCATCTGCTCTCCCAAATGAGTACTTGGTCTGTTCATCTGTTTAGGTGCGAACAAAACTGTTAATATACTGATAATAAAATAAATAGAAAGGATCATTGCCATTTTATATTTAGTAAAGCAATTGGGTATTTGAAAAAAGCAGACTAAAGCTGAATTTCCTCTAAACTGTTTTGGAAGCACAAACATATCAAAGATGCTGCTATTTATCTCAGGCTCCGCCAGGCCTGCTGAAGTCTTCATGGTCTGTCCCTGGTTTAGACAAGGCTGGATGCCTGCGTGCTGGATGTTGAGAGTCCTTCTTTCTATGTTTCCACTATGTTTGCTGTGATTTGTCACTGATGGCTTGTTTTGTTCTTATTATACATATGCAGGATTGTTTGAGATAGTGGAGAGTTGTGTCAGTAGCCATTTAAATGAAGTCACAGCTAAACCTTGGATGTCTCAGTTTTTACTGTAGTAGACTTCTGAACTAATGAGGTTACTGTACTGTTTTGTTTTTTTTTTTAATTTAGGAGGACAAACCTGGGAAGGATCTTGAGAGTCTCACAGAGAACCAGGAGAAAAAGAAAAGGGGAAATAACAGTTTTGAGACAAAGTAAGTTAGATTATGAAACAGAGATCTCAACTACTAATTCTTTAGGTAATATCCATCTCTTATTGTGAATTGCCAGCATTGTTTCACTGAATTTGTATTCCCTATTGAATATATTTTGTCAATTCTGTAAAAAAGAGAGTGCCAGTGTTATTTATAGCAATTAAGTTTTAAGGATTGAAGAACTGAGAAAGCCAAGTGAAAACTTGGGGGAAAAAAAAACTCCATCAGTTGGAGACAGATTACTTTTTACAAAGAGCCAGTTTATATGCCTGTGGCAGTGTGGAGGAGGATATAGTGTGTTTTGGGGTTTTTTTCCGTCCCTCTCAGGAGTGTCAGTATTAATGGAAATTGGGCCCATTGAGTTCTCAAATGTTAAAAGACATATATTAAGCAGAAGTGAAAGTTTACTTTTGTTTTCTTGGGGATCAATTTTGTGTCTACAGTATGTGCTGGAAATAGACACATTTATGGAACTGTTGAGGAGTAATTGCTACAATCAGTCCAAAGGGACATATGCTGCATCAAGCAGTGTAATAAAACATATTTTAAATGAGTACTGTTTTTTTTCAGGCTATTTATATGATAGATACTTTTAGAAAGAATTGGAGAATCAGCAGTTATTATACCTCAGGGGTACACCAAGCACAAGCCTACATCTTGCCTTCCAAAGTGCTTCTTATGGTAGGCTGAAGTTACCAGAAGTTTCTCAGCCACTAATCAGTGCAGAGCTCCAAGTAGCTCTGCTACACACTAGGCAGATGAAATACTGATTGAAGATGCTACAAATAAAAATTACAGAAGATCCTCTTCCCAAGATAGAATTACTTCTGAAATACAAATATTATTTCTACAGTTGTTTACAAAGCTGAGGTGATAAGAAGTATGTGAGATAGAAGCGCAGAACTGAAGCTCTATGGAAATCACTGCCATCCACTAACAGACTGATCTGTACAGATTTCTTCTGTTGTTTGGTTTTTTTTATTTATTTGTGAAAATGTCAATTCAGCACAAGAGATATAATATAAAATACCAATTTATATTCAGAACCAGCCACATAACTGTGCATTATTTTGCTGAGCAACATATCTCAAATGGAATAGATAAAAACTGGGTAAATCATAAATAAAATGGGTATGCTTTAATAGTGTTGAGCAGTCACTGTGATTCTGAATTTTGTTATCTTTCAGTTACATTATTAACTTTCTTCAGGAGAGTTTGGCATCACTGTTGTTATGGTTCATGTTTTAATCATAAAAACACTTAGCCAGACTGTTACTTTAAGGGGCTTATTTCTCTTGTGAGTAGCTCACAGTCAGGATCAGGCCAGAATCATACTGTGGACTGTGAGAAATCCTTCTGGCAGCCTGAGCTTGTGGTCTGAAATGCTAAACTACATGTGCAAAGGAGGCATTTTAGGTGAAGATCAGTAGAGCAGAGTGGAGGTGTATGAAAGTAGATACACGGCCAGCCTCACAAACAATCTGTTTTTGAAGTTCCTGGCTTTTGCTAGTGCAGTTAGTGCCTTATTTTCAAGGCCTAAAAACTGTACTCACTGATGTGACTGTAGCCAATATTAAGATGGACTGTAGCCAATACTACAATTACTATGCAAGTGTATTTGAGTGTTTATACTGTATCAACAAACCTGAAACTGGAGGTTTCTGTCATATGCTAATAACATGATGGGGGGAAAAAAAGCACTGGTGACAGTTTTGATGGCTTGGAGAAATTACTGTTAAATCACTACCTCTCCACCCAAAAACATCAAACTACAAAGTGATGTAGTAGGTTAGAAACATTCTGAATACTGTCAAAGAATAAAGTATTTCAACTGTGATTAAAAAAACATGTCATGAGTGCTATCCAGTTGAAAATGCTTTCCAGGAAAAGAGATTCTTGTAAAAAATATTTTAAATATAGAGATACTTTGTGATTTGGACTGATCTTTTTACACATTTGCAAACTGTATATCTTAATGCTTCTTATGAGCAGTAACGGAAAAGGGACAGGGGGCAAGATTTCGTAAGTTGTTCTCATCACCTGACAGAGCTTTCTCTTATTACTAATCAAGATGTGAACTACTGAAAACCTTTCTGTACAAACCAGGTGCCATGGCAGCTACAGAGCTACTTCTTTTCCTGAAATAAGTCCTGAGAAACGCCATCAATGCTTTTTAATAAGATGTAGATTTGAGATAGTTATTATATAAACTTCAGAGTGTTGTGTGGGGGGGTTTTGTTTGTTTTGTTTTTTTTTCCTTGAGAAGATAGCAGTTACAGAAGTGTGCTTCTTTACAGCTGTACCTTCTAAGGGAAGGCAAACGTGGTGTTGGGCATCCTATCTGGAGGAGGAAAAGGCTGTTGCAGTACCTACTAAGCTTTTTAAAGAGGTATGATCTTCGGAAGTTGAAATCAGTCAACCATCTAAGACAATGAAATTTCTAGGAAATCCATTTTAAAAAAAAAAAGAAGATTTTTTGGGGGAAACCTACATGATTAAAATAAGGCTGTCCATTACCGATCATCAAGATAGAAAAACATGTGAAATTAGTTCTCTTTCTTTGCTTTTTCAAAGAATTCCATACTTGTAGGTGAATGATGTCAACTGAGACTACAGAAAGCAGATGCGTTTCAAAAATCTGCAAGTTCTGGCCTTTCCTTCTAATCTCTGAAGCTAAAAATCTGACACATAGAATCATAGAATGGTTTGGGTTGGAAGGGATCTTAAGGATCATCTAGTTCCGGCCCCCCTGCTGTGAGCAGGGACACTTTCCACTAGACCAGGTTGCTCAAAGCCTCATCCAGCCTGGCCTTGAACACTTTGAGGGAGGGGGCATCCACAGCTTCTCTGAGCAACCTGTTCCAGTGTCTGACCACCCTCACAGTGAAGAACTTCTTGCTAATATCTCATCTAAACCTGCCCTCTTCCAGTTTGAAGCCATTACCCCTCATCCTATCACTAAGTGCCCTTGAAAAAAGTCCCTCCCCAGCTTTCTTGTAGGCCCCTTCAGGTACTGGAAAGCCACTAGAAAGTCTCCCTGAAGCCTTTTCTCTTCTCCAGACTGAACAGCCCTGATTCTCTCAGCCTGTCCTCATAGGAGAGGTGCTCCAGTGGCCCTCCTCTGGCCTCGTTCTAGCTTCTCCATGTCTTTCTTGTGTTG